TATCTCCAAGCTTTGGAAAACCCAGATCTTCTATAAGGGTAGAAAGCATGCATGTTCTTTGCTTTGGAGGGGGTCTATCTCTGAGTTTTAAGGGTATACAAATATGGTTGGGCAAATCATCCACAGCAAGGGCAGTCAGGTCCTCTGCATGCAATGTATACAGAAATACAAGAAACCTATGAGAATTGTCTCCGAACACAGGACTTCTCATAGACTTTAACATGCTGATATGTTACTCTTTCAGTTCCAACAGTGGGCTGTGATATGCAGAATTTCCCAAATTATTGGACTGTTTAATGGAGGATTTTGGTTAGATTCTATGGAACATACTTTTGGAAATAGTGGCATATAGACTAAAGCCAAAATTCCTTAGTCTTCCATTCATGCCCTCTTTACTCTAAACACATAACTACCTTTCTCATATTTATATTATGTCATACCCTGTCTTGTTTCAGCATCGTTGTTTGCTTCCTACAACATGAAATATCCTTGCTCCCTTTTCTTCCCTCTTAAAATTCTATTTACCCTTAAAGCCTCATTTCAGATACTCCCTTGCAGCCTTTTCAAATCCTCCAGATGAAATGTAAGTCACCCCTTTTCTTGTGTCGCCATACTATTTTCCTTATATTTCTACCCTACGTGTATCCACGTTCTACATTATAGTAGAATTAGTCCTAGAGTTGTTTGACAGTCCCCCCTTAGAATATAGTTACTTACTTAAGAGCAGACCCAACATCCTGTAGCTATTGTATTAATCACATAATAGATGTTCAGTAAGTAGTAAATAGCTTAATGTTCCCATTTTAAAGTATGTCATTGTGTCATTCTAGTCACAGATCAATAACTCAAAATTAGTACATTTATAAAATGCTATAACCTAAAAGATTAGTGCATTTAGGCTTTATTAGAGCAAAGGAAACAATCTCTAGAGTTTAAGAAATTGCTTTCTAATTGTCTACTATTCAAGCTGGGATTGTTTTAGAAATTAAAAATTGTAATTCCATTTATTTTATTTATTTATTTTTTTTAATTTTTTTTTCTTAATGTTTTTTTTTATTTATTTTTGAGACAGAGAGAGACAGAACATGAGTGGG